AAGAACAGAACAAGTATTTCTATTGCTCTTTTTTATAATATTGCGAAATTCACCCACAAAGGATAACCAAAATATCTATTGTTAGGTTATCAAATAGCGTCTAGACCAATGTTTTTCAACATTTTTTTTTTATCTCAGGGCACACTTGAACTTACAGTTAAACTTCCTCGGTAAACTTAAATTATGATGATCAAAAACAGCAAAAAGTAAAAAAAAAAAAAAAATAAAGAGTATTCTTTTTATGATTTATTAATAAATAAATAATAAAAAGTAGACTTATACAGTGGAACCTCGGTTCACGAATATAATTCGTTCCTGTGGGTCGTTCGTAACTCGAAATATTCGTAAACCGAAACTATTTTTCCAATAGGAATCAATGTAGAGAAGAAAAAAAACAGTCACAGTACAATAAAATAGGAAAAGAAAAGCGTGACACAACAAACGAATTTATACAAAATGGCGGTCGACTCAGAAATGATTTCGTTCAGTTTAACTCGGTTCGGCAAAGTTGTTTAAGAATCGAAATTTTGTTCGATAAGTAAAGAATTTTCATCTCGAATTTTCTGTTTGAAAACCGATTTGTTCGACATGTGAGACGTTCAAGAACTGAGGTTGCTCTGTATATTTATTATAATTTGAAATGAAACAATAATAATCAAAATTCATAAAAAACTTATGTTCATTTTTTTGTTTATTATATTAATTTAACATTTAATGAGATATCTGAGCTTCACGTTTTTTTTTTGTGGGGGAATATCTTATTTGCAAGATCGAATTTTGGACAGACATCTAGACATGATCGACTTTTGGTTTTTAATATTGTTTATTGCAGAAAAGTTTTCTTCGCACAAACATGACATCGAGAACAGAACAAGTATTTCTATTGCTTTGTTTTGTAATATTGGGAAATTGCCAGCGTCGTCTTCTAATTTTTGTTTCTTAATTAAAACATGTCCATCTTAATGCTATGTAATTAAAAAAAAGAAACTTTTAGTACGAGCTAGACGTCGTCATTACTTTGGGCAAATGAGTGAGTCGTTCGCGAAATCAACTTTGGATGATTTCGACATATATCGGTGTTTATCAGCAATTCCTTATTAAATATTACCATCTCATATTGTAGTTGTATGTTATATATACATTTACTTATTATAACAATGATACACTAATATGATCGATTTAAAGGGGTTTAAATTTTGATATGTATATTTGTGCTTTGGAACTCTTCTGAAAATAATTTAATTAATGACCTTTAAAAATTTTCGCAGCACACCTACCACCCTCTCACATCACACCAGTGTGCTGCGATATGCTGGTTGAAAATCACTCCTCTAGAGGAAAGCAATGAAGATCCGGTATGTTTTAAATTCTTTTCGAAAGACTAATATTGATCGTTAATAAATACTGCCTTACAAGTTGAGAAGGCCACTTTCGAAACGGTCAGTCTCGTTCTAAAGAAATCTTGGAAGAGTGATAAGAATATTTGTTTTACGAAGTCCAACTTTGTTTTTATTGCCTAGTTATACCGTTTTGTATTCGCTTATCGATAAGATATACCGATGACAATGATTCATGTGGAACTTCGACCTGCCTTTTTGAGCTCTCAACTTAAATCAGGGTCTAAGTTCAATTGATCACATGAATCTCTGGGAATGGCTTTCCGCTATAAAAGCGAAGGTAATGACAACACTCGGCTAGAATTAGTCTTTGCTACGTCAGTGAACGTACGGGCCAATTCTAATTGAATCGTTTAATCAATCCAATCAACTCATCAATCATTCAATTTAATCAGCCAATCGATCAACTAATTCAGTCAGCACATCAGCTAAATCAATTCAGTTATCCCATCGATTAATATTGCTTTTTTTTTGTCTTGTTCATAATTTGAATTCGAATCAAAGATGAGTCATTCACGTCCGCGCCAAAACTACCACGCCGACTCCGAAGAGGCGGTTAACCATCAGATCAACATGGAACTGTACGCCAGTTACGTGTACTTGTCAATGGTAAGTTTGTTTCTCACTTGATCCTTCTAATATTTTCTTCTTGCTCACCCATTCTTATTGGTCAAAAAATGTAGATTTAAAAAACTTAAGCCTTTGTTTGGATTTTACGCCAACGTTTTTTTTTTTTTTCATTTTGTAAATTTTCTGTTTCTATCTCTTGGATGAGGTATTATGATTATTTACATCATTTACAAAAAGAATTTCATTTCAAGTGACCTGTCTCAAAACGCTCATTGAGAAATACAAATATTGCGTTATTTACATTATTCGGACAGTTATCCTCATCTTCATTGCCATATTCACAACCTTTCGGCAGTTGTACGCTCCGGCTTTCTTCGGGTGATTGGAATTTCGAACCTAACCCTTTATTTCGTCCACCGAGGTAGATTGTTCTAGTTTCACGTGCCATGCCCCTTCCGGATGTTTCAGCAGTTGTGAACAAAAAAAAAATACTTGGAGAGTTGAGTTAAAGGGTAATAACTGAGATATCCAGAAGAGGCATGGCACATGGAACTAGAACAATCCACCCACGGTAGAAAAATAAAGGGTTCGGTTCGAAATTCCAATCATCTGAAGAAGGCCGGGAGCGTACAACGGCCGAAACGTTGTTAATATGTCAATGAAGATAAGGATAACAGTCCGAATAATGTAAATATTGTAAATTTTCATCTGATCGTCTATCTCTATAATTATTTCCCTAGAAAAAATCCTTTTCGTTAGTCTTCGAATTCTCACACTTCTCGTACACTGATTCAATGTATTCGCTTTTCTGCAAACATGGGAGTTGCTATTTTGTCCGAAGACGCTCTTTTCCTTTTAGACTGCGCAAAAGTAAGTTTTTACTGGCTGGTGGTGAAAACTGCGTTAAAAACCAAGAAAAGAGAACTGAACTGTTACGTGATATCTGCTCTCCTGTATGGCAGTGAATGGACAATCTCCTCAAAGATGAAGAACAGTCTTGAAGCAACAGAAATGTGGTTCTACAGAGAGATACTGAGGATACCATGGACCGATCATGTGAGTAACGACGAGGTTTTTAGAGAAAATGGAAACAAACAGGAAACCTACACTGTACATCAGGATGACGCAGTTTTAATTTCTGGGGTACATAAAGAAGGCTTGGAAGATCTGATTCTCACAGTGTAGATTGTTGGAAAGAGGGACAGATGAAAACAGCGCGTAATATACTTTATGGGCTTGAGCAAATGGATAGCAAAACAGGGTTTGGGAGAAATAACAAAGAAACAAAACTAGAAGGGACAGGACGATGTTCAAGGTCATGATCGCCTACATCCTGAAGGTACACAGCGAATAAAAGACGACGAAGCTGACAGTTAAAAGTCAATTAATGAAGCTGATATCTTTACAAAAAAATGTATGGTTGTCAGCAAGTGGAACAGCCCAAGATGCAAACGACGAATTGGAGATGTCAAACTCAAGCAAGTTTACATATTCGGGAACTTTTATAACAGAGAATACAAAATGTGTCACCAGGGCCGTATTTAGATGAAAAGAGGCCCTAGGCTATTTCATTTGCGAGCCTCCTTCCAATTCCCCATTGTCATATTAAATTAAACAATTTGAGTAAAGCCGAGAATGATGACAGGTGATGACAGTTGACAATTCCTCCATCAAAGGACATGAGATGTTATTGTTAAATACAACACGTGATTGGAAAATGTATTAATGTCAAGACTAAAAAAATCTATGAAGAAATCAATGCTAGCATCAGCCTAAAACAGAATTATTCGGAAATAAAATATAAGGAACATTACAGAAGGCTTGTTTAGAGTCTACGATGCGTTATGTTAGTATGCGCAAGAAAGATCTATGACAGTGTCAAAAATATTATATCCCTTTGCTGGAGACCTCCTAGATTTTGAGGCCCTAGGCCTGCTAAGTCTATAGGGAAAACCGGCACTTGTCTCACCAAAACCCGAATACGCAGTGGAATAGCAAAAGATGTCTTTAAAAAAATAAGCAATGTATAAAGAAACAGGAATATTTCGTTAGAAACAAAGAAAAGAGTGATAAACTACTATGTAATATCAGTACTCCATATATGGCTGTGAATGGTGGCCATTTTCTCACAGATGAAAAGGAGACGTGAATCTGTATAAATGTCCTCGTACAGAAGGATTTAGAGAATACCAGTGATGGTGAATGTGAGAAAAGATAATGTTTTTAACGAAAGCAGAGACGAAAAGGTTAATTTATACTTAGAATTAAAAAGAGACAGAAGAAATTTCTGGTGTATATAATGAGGAAAAAAGCTTGGAAAATTTAACACTCATAAGACACATTGAAGGCAAAAGAAACGGAAGAAAAAGGTGAATAACCTATCGAAGGAGAGCAGAACAGGAAGTGGGGGATTATTAAAAGACATTGCTAAAAGCTACAAAAGATAGGAAGATGTGAGGAGCCATGATCGCCTACGTCCTGTAGGGATTCGGCACATAGAAGAAGATACCTTGTATGTCTGGTTATTTGCTTAGTAATAATTTAGAAGTACTTCGCTGAATTTTGATGGCACACATACCCATACAGACATATATATACGTCATAAAACCATGAAAAATAATCCATGATATATATATATATATATATATATATATATATATATATATATATATATATATATATATATATATGAAAAGTGTGTATATAAATATATATATATGTAATATATTATATATATAATATAATTATTTATATATTATATGCGTGGTACTTATTAGAAAGCGCTCATTATCAGAGATACAGCTATCATATTTGGTTGGATTGAGGTGAGTTAGTGACCTTGGGTTACACGCAATCTACATAAATCCAAAATTTTAAAAAAATTAATCAGTTTGTCTGACGATCACAAAAGGCATGTTCAGAGATAGTAAAATAAAAAATTATCTAAGATCAATACTTATGAACTCTTATATTTTGTTTTGTTTTCTGATAAATATCTGACTAATCAGATTTCTGATTATGAATTCTCTACAGAATTTCTCGGTGCAAACTCGTTAGATTTTAATAAAACAGCAGTTCGTCCAAACCAAATTCTGGTCTTATTTTCATCTATCTATCTATCTATCTATCTATCTATCTATCTATCTATCTATCTATCTATCTCAGTCCGTTACTTCTTATCTATTTATCTCAGTCTGTTACTTCTTATCTATCTATCTATCTATCTATCTATCTATCTATCTATCTATCTATCTATCTATCTATCTATCTATCTATCTCAGTCTGTTTCTTCCTATCTATCTATCTATCTATCTATCTATCTATCTATCTATCTAAAAGAAAGTTACTTGTGTAGTGTAGTAAGGTCTATAAACATTAGCTGACTTACTATTATGCGCTAGTATGAACATTTTACTACCTATCTATCTATCTATCTATCTATCTATCTATCTATCTATAAATATATATATATAATATATATATATATATATATATATATATATATATATATATATTATATCTGATTATTTAGGTTGACCAGGCTGAAACAAAGTTTGAAGATTATCCTTTTACTGTGTTTTTTTTTCTGCAGTCATTTTACTTTGATCGCGATGACGTAGCTCTTGCCGGTTTAAGGGATTGCTTCAAGAAGCGCTCCGAAGAGGAACATGAGCATGCAGAGAAGTTGATGTCCTATCAAAATAAGAGAGGAGGTCGAATTATCCTGCATCCAATTGAAGTAAGTAAGCTATTCATTGTAACGAATAAGTATGGCAAGACATTGGATTTACTTATCAACTTATTTTCATATATGTCGTCATTTTTTATGTTCCCAGCCTTCACGCGTGAGTTTATGGTGTCGTACTTTTTAAATCATTTTAATTATTAGCACTGACATTTATTGCGTGTATTTAGCCTGAACTTGATTGTCATCTCGGGCACGTAATGAGAAAGGAGGGCTTGGAAAATCTGATACTCACAGGACACATTAAGGGAAAGAGGGACAAGAGTAAAACAGCGTTTAACATATTTGATGGACTTGAGTAAATGGATGGTAGAACAGGGTTTGGGAGAAATAACAAAAGACAAATCGTATTAGGAGCTACAAGTGTGAAGGACCATGATCACCTACGCCCTGAAGGGATACGGCACATAAAAGAAGATTGTTTTTATGGTTAAGATTTTTGAGGATGTTTTTTTCATAGTTTATTTAGTATATAATTTTTGTGATATTTATAAATATTTGTTGGATTTCTTCTTGTGTTTGGTTGTTGTGGTCGGTGATATATGATTTACTAGAGGCATTATCGAATTAATGACAAGTTAATCGGCATGGTAATGTCGTGGTTGTGTATCCAATGTATATGCTTTTTGAATTGTTATTATTATAGAAACATTCTGCAAGTGGACAAGTGCATTCATTGAGAGAATTAATTTGTTTAAGTTTGAATTTATTGGATGCCTCATAGGTGAGGATTACGCTATTGTTTTTTTTTTCAATTTTTTGCAACAGGTAATGAGTATCAATGTATTAGATTTCTTATAATTTGTTCGTCTAGTCTGTGCTTATTATGTATTTGCTTCTAGTAGAATAATTTGTGCTTATTATAAATTTGTTTTCAGCAGAATAGTATAATGTTGTTTTTATTATTTCTATTATTGTTCATTATTTTTATAAGGTAAGATTAATTTGTTTATTCATTATGTTTTTCAGTTCGTTAGAGAACACTGAGTCGCAAGAATTTTATGTTGGCTATTTTGTATCTGTATGGGCGCTGAGTAAGCATGTTTGAATTGATATATATATATATATATATATATATATATATATATATATATATATATAGAGAGAGAGAGAGAGAGAGAGAGAGAGAGAGAGATTGAGGTGAGTAAATCAAATAACTATATATTAGCAACCATATATGCGCGCGTAGCGTACATACACAGGTAAGCAAATAAATATTTACTAAATTTACTTTAAGGTGTAGACATAACCGTAGTTCGACAGAGCTAAGAAATACATATTAATAATTATACATAAAGAACTGCGACTTAAGTTTCGTTGTTTTGCCAACTCATCAGGCACGAGATATTACATGATATTAATTATGATTTTTTTAAATCATAAGTAATATCTCGTGTCTGATGAGTTGGTAAAACAACGAAACTTAAGTCGTACTCCTAACGTAGGTATATGTATAATTATTACTATATATATATATATATATGTGTGTGTGTGTGTGTGTGTGCGCAAGTATGCAGAAAAATAGGAAGGAACACGTCAGGTAAATAATCCGGGGTTCCTTAGTATTTTTGTTCTTATTTTTAAGAAGACAGTGCTCCATACATAAGTAGAGCTTATATTATAATATTTTTTTAAAAATATGATTCCTTCGCTACATAAGAGTCCTCATGTTTCAAAAACGAGAGGCGAAATCCACAATATAATTATTAAAATTAAGTTGAATCAAGGTGTTGGGTCCCGTTTCATCTTCAAGCGAAAATTTAGGAATAAGCTATCTTGTGGTTTGCCCGTGTTTATAAGTATGGTCTATTGCAACATTAATTACTATGGAAACGGCTAGGCCCGCCATCTTGGTTAGGTGGTCAAATTGTTAATTCTTATCTACAGATTCGTTACGTTCGGAAATGTTATGCCAAAGTAGAGTGGGGTATTTATTTCAAAGCTAATGGTGGCGGTCGCCGTCTAGTTAGTTTACAGCGGAAGAAATTTCATGGCGCGACGGCAGGTCGTTAAGTGTCGAGAGGATTTTGTTTTATTGTTATATATCTGTTAATCTCTTTATTTATTTGTTTATTCTAGTGTATTTAGGCAGCAATCACTCTTTTATACAGGTTTCATTAAAGACGACAAAAAAGGTACTGCAATTAAGCTCTTTATTTTTTTTGTTTTTGTAGAAACAATCCAATTTTTTTGTAATTTCGAGCGCTTAGCCATTATCAAGGATGATTTATTATTACTTTTTGACTGGATGGATGGGTTGTGTGTATGTATCTAGATTCATAGGGATGTTTTATTTTCCGAACATAGAACATTGTGGCCGTGTTCGTAGTTAATATTACTGAGTGTTGCTTAAAGGGTATTTGAACTCTTAAATAATGTTCGTTCTATGTAGTTTGATTTTGCAGGTCTGTTATTTTTTAGGATAAGGTTAGCAGTTTTAAGTTTTTTGTAATAGATAATTAATTTAATTTTTGTTCGAGTTAACTGAGGTAGTGTATTTCATTATGATATTTCTAAGTGAAAATTCATCTTGTTTATAGTTGAAGTGCATTTGGCTTTTGTAGAAGATATTTAAACTTCATATTTAAAGTATTGTATTTAGAGCATTGTATTTAAAGTATTGTTTTTGACTGTGTGTTCAGTATCATTATTATTTACTTATTTATAACTCTTGATACATACACACAGCCCATCCATCCAGTTAAAAAGTAAAAATAAAATCATTCTTGATAATGGCTAAACGTATAACCGGAATCGCTCGGAGTTACAAAACATTTGAACAATTTCTACGCACTCTGTGTTCAGAAAGGTAAACACATGTTAGAACACAAGAAAAATTAAGTAAAAAGCTTAACCATAGTACCTTGGCTGTCATCTTTAATGAAACACACACACACACATATATGTATGTGTGTGTGTGTTTGTGTCTGTGTATAAACGGCGGTTGTAGATTATCACTATTTCTTAAGTGGTCATAATAGAGGAAGGTGTGTGATGCAGGAGGTTAGTAGTAGTTTCTGGAGAAGTGTTGGTTTTATTTTGGGATGTTGAAGTGATGGATGCTTGTAGACGTCATTAATGATATGTAACATTTTACTGACGTTGGTGAACAAATATTCGGTGTTCAGTGACGCTAATACGCCGTTACTGATTTTGTTACTTTTGATAATCTGGATGATGTTGTATCTGTAGTGTAGGTATTGTTTGATAATTTGTTTGATTGTTTTAGAAAAGAAGTGGAAAATTCATTTCTGATCTTAGGTCTCTGGTCGGGAGAAGTGTCTTGATGCCATTTCTGATCTTAGGTCACCCAGAAAGAAACGTGTATACACCAGAAATCAAATGAAATAAAACAACAACAACAACAACAACAACAATAATAATAATAATAATGATAATATTTAAAAAAAGAGTACGATTTAAGAAAAGAAAAGATGACATGATTTATATGGGTTTAAACAAGGGAAAAATTAAATAAAAGATTAATGGCCACAGATATGATGTCAGACACAACAATGTGATATAAATGGAGCTTGCAGAACATTTTATTACAAACGACTGTAATTTCGACAGAAATCTTCAGGTGTACATTCTGAAAAAATATTCAGAATCTACCAACCTGTCGACCCTTAAAACGCATGAGGATAGTCACGTATGCAAATTACTAACTTCCCTCCCCGGGGGAATGAACGAAATGACAGGAGAGTTCCATCAGATTTATACTAAGTTGTTTGATTAATTCCTCTTCGTAAACAATTAACTAACGGAAAATTCCAAGATGACCAAGATCGCCATCATATTATACACGTTTCAGTTGTGACTTCACGCTGGCGGCGTTTCATTCGTTTTGACCCGTTGATTACCAGTACAGCCGTTTTTTCTTCCTTACAAGACAAATACAAAGATTTATAATTTTTGTAGATTTATATATTTTAATACCTGAATTTTTTAAAAAGAATATAACTTGAAGAACACAGATATACTCTTGAAATATTGTTTAACTGTGTGAAAGGCTATGCATCTTTTCTTTTCTTTATCTTTTTTTAAAATCGCGCTCTTGTGTTGACAAATATTGAAAGAGTTACATCAATCATTTTGTTTACTACTACTACTACTACTAATACTAATACTAATACTAATAATGTGCTTTTATTGACGAGGCAGTCCCTGCAAATTGTAATTTATATTTGAAAATCTTCAAAAAATATCAAAATGCAAAGATCTTGAAGTGCAACTCTCAGAAATGTGGCACATGAAAACATCAGTAATTCCAGTTGTGGTTGGAGCCCTCGGATTGATTGGAAAATGATTCTATAGACTCAATGAATGTATTCCTGGTAGCCCATGTCTTAAAGAAATACAAAAAATTGTACTCATAAGTACAGGTCACATTGTACGGAAAGCTTTATCTATGTAAAATGTGGGTGATCTTAGGTATTTTTATTTTTTATTTTTTTTATTTTTACAAAAATGATTAGGGGAAAATGTCATGAAGCCATTTTTGACTTTAGGTTTCTGGTTGGGACCCGGAAGGAAATGTGTATACAGCAAAAACACAAGGAAATAATAATAATAATAATAATAATAATAATAATAATAATAATAATAATATTAATATGTTTTTATTTCAACAGAAACCTGACACTAATGATTGGGGCACTGTGTTGAACATCATGGAAACATCTTTGGATTTGGAAAAGAAAGTAAATCAGTCTTTACTAAGACTTCGCAAAATCGCTGAAGAACACGACGATGCCGAGGTTGGTACAATTTATTTTTTTTATCAATCATCAGGAATTTTCTAAAGCTCCTCAACAGTATTATCTTCAAACAATATTTCTTTCTCGACGTAGGCGATCATAATTCTCCACGGGATCCTTTTCTTTATTATCTGTGAATTACTGCAACTACTTGGAAAATCTGCTTGGGTGATTACCTATTGCTTTCTTCACAATTTCAAATTCAAAATCGTCCTCTTAGACTAGTTGCTCATCGTATTCAGAGAACCCAGGAATTTATGATTCCCCCAAAAGAATTAATGCGACGCTTTGATAAAACTTACTGCCTTTTAATTTCCGTGCTGAAAAGTTTTACGTTACCAGCACATTGTCCAACAATATTATCATTTTATAAGTGAGAAAAATCTATCTATCTATCTATCTATCTATCTATCTATCTATCTATCTATCTATCTATCTATCTATCTATCTATCTATCTACATTATTTGGACTGTAATCCTCATTTTCATTGCCATATTCACAACATTTCGGCCGTTGTACGCTCAGGTGATTGGTATTTCGAAATTCCAACTACCAGAAAAAGGCCGGAGCGTACAACGGTCGAAACGTTGTGAATATGACAATGAAGATTAGGATAACAGTCCTAATAATGTAAATAATGTAAGTAATCATAATGCCCCATCTCTGAGATAGAGAAGGCTATCTATCTATCTATCTATCTATCTATCTATCTATCTATCTATCTATCTATCTATATATCTCTCTATATATATATATATATATATATATATATATATGGGAGTATATCCTTCTTAAATGTCACATCTGAGTAAAATATAGTGATGTCTATTTACTTCTATAATGTCTGTACGCACACACGCGCGCATGCACGCATTATTTTAGTGAGTCTACATGTTTGAGTAAACATCCTTATTGTTTAAAGCAATGAAATTGACATGTCGAAAATGTAGCTAACTGCAGAAATTAAACATGCATTCCCTTTATCTGGGAAATCTGTTTTACAAGGTGTACCATTACAGCTTTGGTTACAGAGAACTTTATAGCAATGCAAAGCTCAATTAGCCTTAGTAAGAAATGTACATCTCCCGCTGGGATTTTCCTATAATTATATCTGCAATCTTATATTTTCGTACCCGAAACCTAAAAACAAAGTAATTCCTATCTTGAAGTATATTTTATTTAATATGACTTTCAATGATCTAGGCCGGTAGATGTTAATTCTTACTGTTTAAAAAGCCAAAAAAAAAAAATAGTGTTAAAAAAAACACAAAACAGATAGAGAGATGTCTACTCAAGCATCTGTATCCACTAAAATTAGAGTTTATATTTCTAAGACATATATATGTATTTTCTTGCCTGTTCATACACATTCTTAATGTATATATAATTATATTGTTTAATTTACTATATTTATGGGAGAAGAATATTGAGTATCGGGATAAAGTGTTGCTAGTTATATTTACTTGTTTGTTTTCTCATTTGAATAGATGACCGACTTCATCGAAGGCGAATTCTTGCATGAACAGGTGAATGATATCAAAGAGCTTTCTGACCACATCACCAATTTGCATCGTGTCGGAGGTGGACTCGGTGAATACATATTCGACAAGCACATGAAAAGCTAAGAAAATGCATACATAATTACAATGTATTCGGCACCTAGATTTTAAGATTAATCATTCCAAATTTAATTTGGTGACATTTATCTACCCATTAGCGCCCATAAAATAATCTAATATGTAAATTGATTACAAATAAGAGAGAATATTATTATTTTCATAATTATAATGACATCTGAATTAATATGCGACATTTCCAATTAATAATTTATTGAGATTCTTTTGTAAATGATAGCTGTTAAAATACGTATCCTGTAACCTTCAATAAGGCTTCTGCATGCTTTAAAATCTTCTCATATCCTTCCCCGGTCCGATAAGTCTCAATCTATTACTTTTCCCGGTTCCCTGATTCTTATTTCGGTTTAGTCATAGTCACAAAAATGTACGCGTCCTGGGTATGACGATAAACTACATCCGCCTACTATATATGACAATAAACTACATCCGCGTCCTGGGTATGACGATAAACTACATCCGCCAACTGTATATGAAATTAAACTACATAAGCGTCCTGGGTATGACAATAAACTACATCCACCTACTGTATATGAAATTAAATTACATAAACGTCCTGGGTATGACGATATCTACATCCGCTTACTGTATATAACAATAAGCTACATCCGCGTCCTGGGTAAGACGATAAACTATGTCCAACAGCAAGGCCTCTGATAATACGTTTTTGAAAAATAATGTTGCCAGCTGTATGATTTTGAAAGAAAGAAAAAATAATGTTAATAACTATACGTTTTTGAAAAAAAATAATAATATTACCAACTATACGTTTTTGAAAAAAATAATATTACCAGCTATACATTTTTGAGAAAAAAAATAATATATATATATGTTAACAGAAATGGATTCATGACAAAACAAAAATATTACCAGGGAAAAAAAGTTGTCGGCATTAAATGACACATTGAGGTTTTGATATGCCGTAAAACAAAACAAATAAACAAACAAACAAAAATGTACGAATTAAAAAACAAATGTTCGTATCGGATATCGTAAGCGATTTAAAGTTACATTTAATGGGTATATGAATGTTTTAATTTTAACTATTACTATCTAATTTCCTTCAATTCGCTTTTTTTTCCGAAGGTTGAATATCTATGTAAAAGTTATTAAATGTTACTTGTGGAAATAATATTCTTAATTCTCTTTCATTTCTAATCAATTCAAGTCTTATTAACGCTAAGTAAATGTCATTAAATCAAATTTCAAATAAACATAAGAAAATAATATTTTGCTACAACAGTGTATATATATATATATATATATATATATATATATATATATATATATATATATATATATATACGTGTGTGTGTGTGTGTGTATTCTAGCTTTTCTGATCTACATGAAAGCATAAAACAATAAAAACTTGATTAAGCGGAAACTGATTTTGTCATTTATTATTGAGTGCATATCATTTTAAATGTATAATTACTTTTCTATTGAGATAAAACAAAATAAAGAAGTCGACGAAACATCCTAACAATCAAGGTAATAAGGGTACAAGTCCTGGGTAAGAGGATAAACTACATCCGACAGCAAGGCCTTTGATCAGGAGGTTTTGAGGAGCTAGGAACCACCTCTTAATTGCTGATGTTCCCAGGTCCACCCTGACCTGCGGTGGTAGCACTTGTCAGGGTCACAGCTATGGGCAAATAGTTAACCACCTAAAAGGGGCCAAGACACTATGAAAGTATAAAAATAGGTTTTAATACCAGCAATATGTTTTTAGAAAAATTATTATCAGGAATACATTTTTGAAAATAAATATTACCAACAATATATTTTTGAAAAAAAAAAATATTACCAGTAATAAAAATTTTGTCGGCTTTAAATAACCCATTGACGCTGATATGCCGTAAAACAAAACAAACCAAACCAAACCTAGCCTTAAATTCCGCCTTTAAAAGTACAGTTTAAATAATAATTAAAAAAAAAATTATTGTTACGTTGTAAAGATCAGCTTGAATTTTTTGAGATTATTTGGAATCTTTTAATAGTTATGTCTCATTGGAATTGTTTTTCTAGATTCATTCCAAGGAAAATAGTCCAGATAATATTTTATTAGTTAAATATTTCCCATCTTAATAAATGTTTTAGCATATTTTCTAAATATGGAACTTTAATTGGAAAATAGTAACATTCATATGTTTTTTTTTTGTTTTTTTCCCGCGTACGAGGAACTGCTGAAATTTTCTCGGCCCTACCCACTTCCCAAAAATGATTTTTAAATTCCTTCTTACTAGGACAGATAATTTTTCAACACCTTCTCGTAATATGTAGACAGATTAACTCACAGTTTATTTTATTTTATTTTTTAGTGACAAGATGTCTGTGTTTTGTTATTTGTTGTGTTCAGACGAACTCACCTGTTCAAAGACTATGTCGATGGTAAAATTGTTACATATATCCTTTGATTTTATGAGAGAGACATTAGCTAGTAATGTTTTCCATTTTTTTCCTCGTGTATTATATTATTCTTCGATACTTTTTCTATGGTGCGAAGGTGTTGACTTTGTCAAAAGGTTCTGCCTATCAATTTTAAGGACAAAAATGATATTAAATTTCTATCTCTCGGACTCTGCGCTTACAGGCAGTCGCTGTTCGATTGAATTAAAAGGTGAGGGGCTATTGTTAATGGCTGGCAACTAAGGCAACCCAAAAGTGAGGTAGCGAAAGAGCAGTACTATTTTTGTTCTCTTGTTCCATAAAACTCTCACTTAAACTCCCACTTAAGTTTAATGACGGTAGTCTCGTTTCTCTTTGACACAATGCAACCCTAGGCACTGTAAATAGATGTGCAGACGGGGTCCAGTGGATGATGAAAAGAAAGCCTGCAATAATCAGTTTGCTTTTCACAACAAAAAGTCTAGCGCTGAAGAGCGTTGAGAGTAAAAGGCGCTCTAAAAATCATATAGTGTGGAAGAAAGTGAATTTTTAAAGGCTGGCATGGACATTGTTTCACTCGTAAGTCTAATATTCGGCAAAAGTAGATTTTTGACACCGTCTTTTTTCATTTTATTTCTCTTGTTTTTATTATAACTCTCAGATCGGGATTCTACGATCGTTAATCATGTGTAAATCACTTCAGATTTCCGAACATTTATTGCCACCCGTCCGGAGATGTTTACATATCCCAATACAAAAATGCCTATAGCCTTACAATTATGTAAAATATTGTCGCACTGCCGAAAAAAGTAACATAACAGACAATCTCCGTTACAATAGACATTAAATGTAATTATTGATAGAAATGAAAATAATTTTGCGTAAACATATCTTGTAAATTGTGGGGGAAACACACCAATGCAATAATAAAGAAAAAATTAATTCATTAAAAATAGCCATAATATAGAAAAATATTACATTAGCTAATATCATAATTGCAGGACTGAAAGTGTAATATATATATATATATATATGTGTTAGACACACACACACACACATATATATATATATATATATATATATATATATATATATATATATGTGTGTGTGTGTGTGTGTGTGTGTGTGTATGTATATGGTACAATTTCGGCCTTGTTTGATTAATTGGTTCTCTGTAGTTCAGTTGGTCGAGACATACCTCTGCCCAGAGAGCATAAATTGTTCTTTGATAAGACTTCTCGAACATCCAGGCCGGTAGACGAAAATGAATATACTGTTCGATAAGTAAACTCAAAAACGAGTATCAACTAATAATAACGTTTAAATTGATTATATATATATATATATATATATATATATATATATATATATAGATATATATAGAGAGAGAGAGAGAGAGAGATATAGATAGATAGATAGATAGATAGATAGATAGATAGATAGAGAGAGAGAGAGAGAGAGAGAGAGAATGTATATAGGTATGAGATAAGAACAAATAGAGCATAATTCCACTATCTTTAGTATTTAATTCTAAAAAAATGCCTAATACAGAGTAGAGCTTAATATTATTTATTATGTTGAAAAACGCTACACAATAGCTTTTATGTTTCAGTACTAAGTTGTGCTTCTTCAGGCGATGGTTAATAACTAGTGAGTTAATGATTATTTTTTATTTCAAAAGCAGAATACCCACTCTGTTTTTGAATTCACCAATTATTTACTATCGTCTGAAAAAGCTCAATTTAGTGATGAATCATG